GAAGCACTTATTCTACTGAGCCATTTCCCCAGCCTGCCCTGGAAATTTTTAACCAGAATAATACATCACAGTATTTTAATAAAAGAATAAAAATATTTTACTTATGTATTTGGTTGTTGCAGGGTCTCACTACGCAGTTCAGACTCATGGTGATCCTCCTTTCAGCATCACCAGTGCTGCGATTATAGGCGTGCACCACTATACCTACCCGGACTCTAACTGGCTCAGTCCACCCTGAGGGCAGAGCTGGTACGGCATGTGGTGCCAGGGGTCAAACTGCAGTCCCTGTGCTTGCCTAAACTTGCCTAAGCAGGCACTTTGGTCCACTGAGCTACCTCGCCAGCCCAAAAAATACTATTTTAACAAAATAATGTGGCATATGCATGCATGATGGGCTTCATCTGCAGAGCTTTAAAGTTACTGCTGAAGCTCAGTTAACAGGAAGAGGCAGAGGTAAAAGTGCTAACAATAGCAATCAGATGAAGCAGCTTAAAAAAAATTTTTTTTTAATCACAATTTACCTGGCAACTGGGTTCATTCACTGATTCAGTAAATATCTGTTTACTAAAATGCCAGGCAGCAGACTGGGCACTAAAAACATAACAATAGCAAAACAAAGCTCTTCCTCAAGTGTTTGAAGGCCTGACAGAGGCCTTCTGGGGATTTAATAGTAAGCGAAAATCTTGCTTTCAGGGAGTTTGAATTCTAGTAGAGAGCATAGACAATAGACAAGTAAAAAGAGAAAGGAAGTGTAGTAAGGAGGTTGGGATATGCAGAGTTGTACAGGAAGAGGTGAGCCAAGGAGGTTGCAGGCCTCTCCCAGTCATTTCAGAAATTTGGCAACGAAAGGAGAAAAGCATAGTTGGTGGAGAGCACTAAGACTGGATATTTTTTATTTTTCAGGAAAGTGCAGAGGATCAGCAGCAAATCAAAGGTAAGGATTGAATAGTCTTGGAGGAGATGGGCTAAGAGCATTTAAAAGAATTCTGTTTGGCAAGAAAGAGACCTGGGACATAAATTATCACCAGTGGAAGGCAGAGCAAAGAAGGAACTTCAGGCTGGGGCCAGGGAGACAGAGGCAGCAGTGCCCTCGTGGGAAGCCACGGCAGGATGATAACCAGTGCAGGGAATCCTGGCGGGCCCTGAGATCCCCAGACTTCAGACAGCACTATGGATTCTGAAGTTGTGAGTGCTAGGAACACTGCTGTGATCATGCAAAAAGGGGTATTCACAGAAAGCAAGTAAGATGACAAGGACCTTAAATGCCAAGTGGGTAAACTTTCAATGTGCTAGCCCAAGAGGGAAGAAATCAAGATGGCATCTGATTGTTCCTTTGATGGAGTGTAAATTGGTCCTTTATCCCTTATCTGCAAGCCTGATGCCATTTCCAGTGACTTGGAATGGGGCTTGTCCTGACCTTATGTGGCCTCCAGACACCAAATGAATACAAATTCTGTGACTATAACAGTGATGATGTCATAATTCATCTATCCCACAGTAAGTGCTTGGTATCTTGAATTGTGGTGAAACTATGTGTAGAATTTTTTTCCCCAGTTCTGG